TGCTTTGCAGCTGAAAATGCTTAGATACTGTGGTAATGAGGAGAATATAACACAGTTTAATTCTGTTGTGTTATGCAAAATAGCCTTCCCAGAACCTCTACAGATTGTCCCATCAAATTCCATTCCTGTGAAGTATGTAGTGGTGTTTGGTTAGTACAGAAGGACATAAAAAACCCCAACACATTAAGTGTCAGAATGCATATGGGTCAACTTCCAATTTTTTTTTTTCTTACTCAGTTTCATTTGGAATTAATGTAAAAATATTGAAGTCTTCTTCCCTGAGCAGCTTTCAGTTTTAAATCTCCACATCTGTTTATCCAATATTATGCACCTGTTACATTTAAGAAAACACTATTTGAAAACAATCATAAATATGGGTGGATTTAAGTTTACATTTGTGTTCTACATACAACATTTATATTTAATGCTCAGGAGAGTGCTTTTCCAGGATTATTTTTGTAAGAATAAATTTATTTACTGGCAGGAATATTTAACTTAATCTTTGCCACAGTCCAGAAAACAGTTCACACTTTTCTATTCCTGAAACCAAAAGGAATGTCAATTGGCCTAGGGCTCTGCTGGCACAAATCTAAGATCAAGTTCTGATCCATTAGTGCTATTCTTAACTGTTCAGACTGTAAAAGTTTGCATATAGATCCCTATTTTGAGAGGAATTAAGAATATAAATCTGAACTTAAAACAAAGCAAGTTCTATTTAGATGCTTAAAACTGAATTCAAATTGATTACTCTTTCAAGTTCTATTTCCAAGCTTGAGTGTCTCAGCTCAGTGATGTAAGTCTGCTACTTCAGACATTCATCTAGATATTTTTAAAGGGGCAGGATACCTGGTGCCTAAATTATTTCAATATGTAACCACTAGGCACCAACATTTGAAAATTAGCTTGTTGAACTGTAAAATCCTCCTCACGTTTTCAGAAGCGGATAAGGAAAAAACCTTGTTTCAATCTGGTCTACCTGCTCTAGCAAAGAATAGTATTTGGGAGATTATAATTCTGATAGCTGTAATCCTTAAAGGAACCTGGTGCCTAAATAATTATTTCAATACGTAACCACTAGGCACCAACATTTGAAAATTAGCTTGTTGAACTGTAAAATCCTCCTCACATTTTCAGAAGCGGATGAGGAAAAAACCTTGTTTCAATCTGGTCTACCTGCTCTAGCAAAGAATAGTATTTGGGAGATTATAATTCTGATAGCTGTAATCCTTAAAGAGGTTTTCATGCCAGTTTTCTATGCTATATGACTTACAGAACAATTGTGCAACATTAGCAACTTGCTTCATTCCGTGCAATGGGTATGCTTGTGCTTTTGTTTGAAAAGACTCAGATATTGCAAAGCTTGAATTTCAAAGGCAATCTTGTAAATTTGAGATAAATGTGTGCCAAATTTTTGGTTTGTTATTCTGGGATTTTTATCCAAGAACTAAGACAATCTACTTTCAAAATCTCAGAGATACTTCTAAAACTGAGAAGGAAAAGATAATGGAGGAAAAGATGGTGAATGAAGAGGCTGACATTTGGATAAGAAGTTCAATTTTCTGTCCTGCAATTTTACCACTTAAAAGATTGGTTGTATCCTAAGTTACACAAGAAATAACATGCATCTGTAATATATTAGTATTTTAACACCTGACTGCTAATAACATTGTGCACATGTTTTTCCTTCCAGGAATCAACTCAATTACATCACAGAAGAACTTCAAAATCCCTACAGGTAAAACTACGTAGGAAAGCAGTGTTTCTAGTAACAGAAATAATAAAATATTTTTGCAGAAGCAGGCATGTATTTTGGTTTGGTTTTAAAAGCAATGGTTATTCAAGGTTTGAGCACTAATAGACAGAGCTAATTAGCAACTATTACAGGCTTGAAAATTTGCATAAAGTTGTATTTTCCTTTTAAAATCCTGATTTCCATGGCTTTACAATGAAGAAACATAAGATACACCTAAAGAGCATACTGGGGAAAGTAAGAGTCCACAGTTTACTATGACAACTCTACCAGTGATATAGCAATGCTGATGGAGTCTTCCTTTTGCATTCTCTAGAAATCTACCGCTATCTATAATGATTGGAATCCCCTTGGTTACAGTCTGTTACCTTCTGATAAACATTTCCTATTTCACTGTAATGACTTCAACAGAACTCCTCCAGTCCCAAGCAGTTGCTGTGGTAAGCCACTTTATTTTGCAATAGAGCATCTGAAGAAGGCTGTGTGCATTGAAGTTATCTTCAGCAGTAGCATAAGCAAAAATGAACCTGTAATTTCTCTTAAGATATAATTATTTTCTAAGTTGTCAGAGTTATAATTTCCCTCTATTGTCATTTCTTAATCTAAAACTTATTTCAGTAACGCTTAAATTAAACATATCTGTCATACTCCAGGGCTAGGGGGGGAAGAAAAACAACGCAGTCCTCGGCTAACATTCTGTAAACACTGCAGCTCAGAGGTTGACTGTTTTCCATAAGCACGAAAAAGATGTAAGGAAAAAATATCACCTGTCTCTTGCTTTGCCCTTTTCAGTATTTCTGAGAAACAAGCACATGCAAAACGACAGTAGATCAAAGTTTGCTGTTCCAGAGGTAACAGCAAGTAGTCCATAATTCACTTCCTCCTTATTCTTACTTTTTTTCTTAACAAAGCTAAGAAATATCCTTGTGACATTATTGCAAGACATGCTATTACAGTCAAAACTACAGATTATATAGATTTTTCAAATCTTAACACACATCTAACCCTTTGGTAAATTTTTCATGGGACGCTTGCCTCTAACAACTGTTGAGAGCTTGTGCAGCAATTTTTCCTTATCATAGTTTCTGGGGAAAACAAACATCACGTGGCATGCATGCAAAACGGTGTAGCACAGTGAGGAAGTATGCTAATGTAGAAATACTTAAAAAATGTTAAAAAACCCAATCTTTTAAAATGTAGAACTTTGGTGCATTTCAGCATCTTGCTTGTACCAAGAGGCACAGCAACGTGTATCAAGTTGTGTCTTAAGAACTAGTCCTCTCCAGCATCCCACTAAACTTACAGTCTGTGAACAACACATCAGCTCATGCTAAATGCGGCAGACTAAACACCAGCATCTCAGAACTGCTGCTGAGTGGTCCAGAGGCAGCACAGCAAACATCAAGAGCAGGAGTGCACTGCAGACAGAGGTCTGCACATCTGTAAGCAGACTTCTGGCTTCGCACTGATGAGTGTCCTATGACTGGACAAAGAAACAACACTGATGTTACACTGGTGCAAAACCAGGACTCTATGTTTTACTTACTAAAATGAGTAAACCACCCCCCAACTAAAAACCCAAAAGCTACCTGTCAAAAAAGTTTGAATTCAAATTCATTTACAGTAGATCAATGTAGCTACATTAGATCTAATCCACCCTGCAGCAACAACTAACATACCATGGCACAGGAAGAAATTCAAGTGCAGTAAAAGACCCTGGCAAGTCTGTCCTTGTCGTTCAGCTGCAAGGCCTCGGTTGTCACACCGTCACTACTAGCGTTGCTGCTTCTACATAGGCTGAAACCAGCTTGTGTTTGTGTGGCTCTCTGCTGCAATGCTCTTTCTTTCTGTTTGGCAGGCACACCCCAAAACCAGGTGACTTTAACAGAACTGAATTTCTGTTATTTTTCATATCTGTCTCCCAATGGTTCCTACAGATGCTGTATCTCAAACACCACAACAACAGTAGTTTATAGAGTGGTTCATGAATTAATCCACGTCTTCAATTTAGCAAAGTATTCTTTGCTACACAAAATATACAACAAATGTTTTTTATTGGTATCATACCTTAGATACCCATTTACTGTACTTTTAAAGAGGCTCCAACATTACTGAATATACCAAATGATAGTTAAAATGACAAAAGTGATTAATTTTAATCTCATATCCCAGACATTCGGAGAGAGAGTCCTTTATCCAGCCTCTTGGATAGTTCCTCTCTTTGTGGCCTTTTCTACAATTGGATCTGCCAATGGGAACTGTTTTGCTGCAGGCAGGTAAGCTCCCCTTCTAAATATCTTAAAATAAAATTTTTTAAAGGATGGAAAAGTTTATATATACATTTATGTATCTACAAAGATATATACATCCTTCTGATCCAAGTGTACAAAATGTAATTAAAGACTATTTGCAAATCTAGCTATATTGTTTAATTTTCAGAAACAAGTCGTGGCTGTGCAGGTTTGAAAAATTAAAAACATAAGGTCTCTTATTCTTAATTCAAAACAGTTATAGCACAAAAGGTTTTTTCACCTCCCATCAAGTTTAAAGCTAAGATTTAAACAGTTTAAGAAGTTATGACTATACAAGTAATGATAAAGACAAGTTAGAAAGAGAAGCTACTCCTTTCTAACAGTTGTTCAATGCTTCCATTTACTATTTAAAAATATTTTAAATTTTGAATCCATCGGAATACAATAGGGATGTAAAGACTAAATTTTGACAGAAAGTTGTCAGCATAGCTTTTTGATATGAAGCAAATTAAAAAGGAAATATTAAATTAAAAAGGACACAGTGGCTAACTTTTTTTACTCCAACAATTTTAAATTAAATGTACAAACTAACGATTCTGAATTTAATTTCAAGTTCACTACTTTAATACTGGTTATTTCCCTTACTCGGTCCCCTACAATATTCCTTAAATTCCACTGCATATCAAAGGAAATACTGATGAAATTATAGTCAGATGTAGCCACACAATAACATAAACCTGAAAATGAATGTTACTAAGTATATATATATATTTTTTTTTTTTAGTAATGCCACTTAAAGTCTAGGTGCCACACTAACTAGATCACCTTGGTTTTGTTTTGTCAGACTTGTTTATGTTGCAAGTCGTGAGGGGCACATGCTAAAGGTGCTATCTTACATTAGTGTTAAGCGTTTAACACCAGCACCTGCTATCATATTTTACGTAAGTATATATTTTAAGTACAAAAAAATTATAAACAAAAATTCTCCAGTAATACATGCTTTCACAATTTCTTACCAGCAGTCTTGACACGTCTTTGACTATCTAGACAAGAAAATTGTTAAACACATGTTAGGAAAAAAGACAAAACCCCAGCTTCTCAATTTAAACAGTTTAATTCCAGAACTGGACTTCAAAAATCAATATTTTTTTAAGAACACACAGAATGAAAATAAATAATAAATTATTATTAGGCAAATCCTTTATTTCACAGGATGCCTTGAACCAAGCTATTTCTACTCTATTTCCTCCCTATAAGAATGCATTTACATCTCACAAATTCTATTCAGTAAATAGAGTTTACAAGAAATCAAGAATATGTTATTTTTATATATTTTTACCCATTTTTCTTCTCTTTGAGGTAAACCAAGATAAATTTAATTGCTGTTGACTACCAGTAATTTTAATAATTTTTGACTTAAAATGGAATTAAGATTGCATACAGAAACAAACATGTTGGCAAGATGTGGACGCTATCTTTAAAGGTGCTGCAACATACTTAGGCCCAATGTTTAAGCAAAACCATTCACAGATCACACTCTGGAACACTGTAATCATACACTCATACTGACACAGGAGTAAAATTCAGCCTTCTTTTGTAATAGATTACACTAATTTTTGTTTTCATTTTAGGGGGCCATTGCTATTATTTATATTATCCCTGGTGACATTGACACACTCATAAATTATTTCAGTTTCGCAGTCTGGATATTTTATGGTTTAGCTGTACTTGGACTCATTGTTATGAGGTTTACAAGAAAGGACCACAAGAGACCAATCAGGGTAAGTTCAGCATTCAGCACAGCTTCTCCTCCACTCCCATAAATACTGAAACATGAACTCATCCTATTATTTGGATATTTAAACATAATCCTCAGGCAGACTCCTTGTTTTGTGTCCCGTTGCCTCCCCAATCCCCGACCTGAAACCCAGCCATTTATTTATAGTTCTTTGTTCCATTTTTGCACTAGGACAAAGCTGGTAAGGACCAGGAAAAGATGACACAACGTTTATTTTTGCTTTCAGAGACCATAGGCACAAGCTAGATTTTCAGGGATTGGAAACTGCAGTCAGCAGACTACCACTGGAAGAGCACCCCACAATAAGACCCCAGGTCACTGCACTGGAGTCAGGTCCCAGATTCATTAAAATGCCAATTTTTACACTGCAGTTTGCAATACAGACAGAGAGATCTTGGTCAGTCATTCAGCAGAAGAGTTTTCCCTATCCATATTCTTGCTGCTCTTTTAATTGCCCCATCTACTTCCAGAAATTTTAAAATTAAAAACTGCATAAGGCAATGAAAATACCCTTCTTTCATACATGTAACTTCTGTAAGAACAGCAAAAGACTAAACAAGTAATTTTGTGCTTTGTCTCTTGTAGATACCCATCGTCATTCCAGTCATAGTGACATTAGCGTCCATTTTACTGGTACTGGCACCAATCATCAGTGCACCTGAACTGGCCTATTTGTACTGTGTTTTATTTATACTTAGTGGACTTATAGTTTATGTACTTTTTGTTCATTTTAAATTCAACTGGCCTCAAAAAATATCAAGTAAGTATACCTCAGCTCCAATTTCAACAGAACATTGCTAAGCTTTAGAATAATTACTGTAATGAAGGTCCATCCTGTCTGAATCACATAAGCGGGGGGTGGAGGGAGGCAATTTTCCACATATATAGTGAGCGGCACACGGTGAGCTTTACTAAAGATTCTATTTTACTCCTTCCTGGGAAAAAAATAGTGATGTCTGCAGGAAAAACAAAACTTAATTCACAAAAAAGCAATACATCACTGTAGCAGCACAAACAAACTGACTTGTAAAATGAACAGAACTATTTTATCCATAAAGTTATTTTTTTGATTGTCCATCTTTCAAAACATTTGTTTTAGCCATTAACTAAATATTTTCACTTAGAAAAACAGTGTTAAGTCTGAACAGAAATACTATTCTCTCATAAAGCCTCTAACAGTAACTTTTTTTCCTCAGAGCCCATCACGATGTACCTTCAGATGCTTCTGGAAGTTGTTCCAGCAGAGGAAGCTACTGAATAATTTTTTTTTATATGTACCAGGTTGTTTTTAGGTGCTATACTGCTTGAGGAGATTCAAGTTTGTTTGGCACACATTTATACTTTCTAAATTGTTATGTTCATACTGGTGTATTATTTTTGCAACACTTCAGTACTTGAAAAATGTTAAATATATAAGAATAAAAGATTTCTGAGCCAGATCAGTGTCCAGCAGAACTGTCTTCATTGTTTGCTAATATGTTATGGTACCTTGTTTTCTGCAATAAAATTACTCAAAATAAACAAAAGGAATTTTTCAATTATGAAGATGGCAAAACTTACCAGCAACACTGTCAAGATAGTTTTGATCACACTGCTGAAATAGCAACGCAGCTACAGCATCACATTCAACAGGCCACGCAGAAATAACTAAACCAGATTAACTCCATTCTCAGTTTCTCAGATCAAACAATAGCTATCAAAAAATTAAAGACTGAGGAAGTGGGAAACAAGTAAAAATGGAAAGCATGGTTGACTGGAAGAGAAGAAGCTGGATTTTTTTTTTATTAAACCACAATAATAAATTAAAGTGTAATTTCTCACATATCTGTTTTCTCCAACACTATTGAAGTTATAGAACAGCGAGAAAATGCCACAGAAATTATCCTCAGCATGAATGTGACTCTACAAAGCTAACTTCATCATCCTAGAAACACTTCATTTGGTAGCTGATGAAAATAAAACACAAAAAACAGGTACTACATTAACATATAGCTGTAAGCAGCTTTTTCCTTCCCTGCCCAAGAAACTTAATTCTAGGTAACATTCTTCACTGCTATATTCCCTCAGTGCAAATGGATAAAGAAAGGAATTTTATCATCACTTATCAATATTTTTAAAGTGATTAATTTGAGAAAGACTGTTTATACTGAAAGCACAAGCACATTCATCCTAAATATGTAACACAAGAATATTAAACAGCCGGCTTAAGATCGTAAGTTCATACTAACTCTAGCCTAGCAAACTCAACTAAAGAAGCTATTTCTATCATCCCATAGTTATAGAGAAATAACTAAAATCTGCATTCCTATATATTTGTGTATCTACCTACATGGACATATGAAAACGATGGGTTCCAGTTCACTTGCAGGAGATTTTGTGATTATAGTCAGATCCACAAAAATATCTGCTCCATGTGCAATCAGGGTAAAACAGAAGCAAAGAAAGGTCAAGAATGACTAAGAAAGGCAATGGAGAACCACACAAAATTGTAATTATGCCATTCTGTATGAAGTGCCTACTTGCCAGTGTTTTGTCCCAGTCACACTATTAAAACTGCACTGTGCATCACTCATTTGAATATTCCATTCTTACTGTTATCATTATTTTAATTCCAATTATTAAATTGTTTTTATGTCAACCCACAAGTTTTCTCACTTTTACCCTTCTGATTCTCTCCCCTGTCCCACTGGGGGAAGGTGAGTGAGCAGCTGCTTGGTGTTTGGCTACCTGCCAGACTAAACCCACCACACTTACATCTTGAGGGTACAGGGTTTCAAGCAGACAGAGCAAGGATGGCTTCAAAACACAGAAAAATTATTTCTTTAGAAAGTATGTTGTCTGACTACTGAATTCCTTAGTGCAGAAAAAAATCTTAGAAGCTGGAAAGGCTCTAAAATGCAACTGAACTAATTCAAGTAGGAAGTCCACAGAAAACCTCTTCCTCATGAAGACTTTGATCAAAAACTGCTTGAGGTCAAGAGAACATTCTTTGAATGTATTGCTACATTTTTTTATACTGGTCTTTATAATCTGGCTCTTGGCAGCTGCTAAGAATGTATGGCGATCAAAAACTGCTTGAGGTCAAGAGAATATTCTTTGAATGTATTGCTACATTTTTTTTATACTGGTCTTTATAAACTGGCTCTTGGCAGCTGCTAAGAATGTATGGCTAAAACCAGCTTTTGCTTCTACATCATACAAGATGTCCTACTTTTAAAAACAAAATTACAGATAATTTATGCCTATTAAATAAGATTTATCTTATTATTAGATTTACCAGCAGAAAAATCACCTTACATTATATTTAGATATCAGACAAGTCAAAGAAGAACAAAACATGTGAAGGAAAAACATCTTGCCCCATCACTTTTTTTTTTTCAATTAGGTGATTTGACAGATTTCCTGTTTCATCACAATGCAGAGCCAGATACAGTTACATCAGTTATTTCCTTAAGTACTTTTACAAGTTAAAGCTTTGCAAGAACCTGTACTCAGGTGAAGGTTACAATTAAGCTCAGCTGTAGTCAGGTTCCCAACAGCACTGATTTTTTAACCATACATTTTTTTAACCATGCAGTAAACATTACAACTGTTTCTGTCATATGGCAGTTTTCCACTGGCATCATCAATATTCTTAAATATTCAGAAAAAAAGCAGCTTTATTAGGCTAATACTAGAAAAACATTAGCTGTCAGCATAAACATATTAATACAGTACTTGTCCCAGGGTTGAAATAAAGGCATCCCAATGCTTCTTGAAAGAAGAATCCCCAACCATGAAGTATATTCTTCCTAGTCAAGAATCTAACAAAGTTTTAGGCTTCTTAAAATAAATCTGTAAAGTTAAGTCTCCATTCTGAACTACCATATAGTTATGTTGTGGAAAGTACTGTACTTTAAAATCTACAGACGCAAAGAGATCTAATACCAGATTCATTTACTATAAATTTCTTTTACATTATTACCTCACTACGAGATGTTTTGGATGTGCAAAAATGTAATAGTGAAAAATTATTTACTGAAAGATGATGTAATAAAAGGCAAAGCCTTAGGGTTAAGCAGACAAGATTTTATTGTTCATTTGCAAAGGACAGGAGTTTTAGATAAGTGAGAGGGAATGAAATAAGAGCATTAATGAAAAGTGAAAATGTCACACTGAAAACAAGCACTGAATCTACTATCACAGTGCTCATTCCACAAAAGCTGCACTGTACAGTATTTCATACCAAGTCAACGTATTTCCAATCAAGTAACAAAAACTGCCATTAGAGCTGAGGCATCATTTCTTGCAGAAACCGACAAATGCGATGACTGACAACAAAGTGATACTGTATGAATATGAGGGATGTCAAATAGACAATTGACAGATCATCAGGACTTGTGAAACTTCAAAAATTACTAACTAGTAACACAGCAAATTCCCTCACATAAGTAAACTATGTAATTACTAATAAATTCAGCTGCTTCACAACCCAAGTTTAATCTTTAGATTCTACTGTTTAGATAGTCCACGTACATATGTGCAAACCATCATTAAAGCCAACAATTTTAAAAACTTTATGTATGGAAAACATACATAAAGTTCTTCTGTGGAGTATTCCTCCAGATTCTCAGCACCCAAAGGTAAGGACTTTGTTCACTATTTTCCTCCTAAAATTAAGGACAGTCCGCAACCTGTGTGTTTAGTTTTATCAACTGTAGCGGAAATACTAATGCAAGAGACATTACTCTGAAGTATAATTCTTAACAGAGTAAAAAGATCTGTCTCCAAATTACTCATCACTTTCTGTTCCACTGTCTTCTGAGGAGTCAACCAATTCTTCAGTTACTGCAGCAAGGCAATGCAATTTTTTAGTACCTAGAATACAAAGTGTTAACACTTTACAAAGCAAGAAAAAACAAGAGCTTTAGAACAAGTATGTAGTTGTATTAAAAACAAACCAACAAAATCTCACAATTTAGACTACAAACTAGATCAAAACACTGAAACTGCTGGAAAAAAAAAAACCACACTGTTGAAAAAACACGGAAACTTCAAACTGCTTTTTGTTTGTGCTATTCTGATAGAAAATTACCCTGCTGCCTATAGGTTGCTATTAGAGGTCCTCTCATCTGTTTTCAGACAATTTGAACAAGCCAGCTAAGTGTCACATATCTGAAACAAATTAGTATTTCAGATAAAGCCTATGCAAAAACAAGGATGCTAATAATTTTACGCATTATAAACACCAACTTGTTCATTCCTTACCAACTGGAAAAGGACTTTTATCTTCAAAATCTTCCAAGTGTTCAAAATCAAAAGACACATGATGATTCTGTTGACAAAAACATTGTTTGAAACAGCTGCACTGATGCACACTATGTTCAGAACATTCAATAATTCTCAAATTAATTTCCACTTCACCTTGTTTTTCAGTAATTTGCACCATGCTCCTTTTTCCTCTTTTGCAAGAACAATAACAGCCTCTTTATCCTTAATCACATACGTAGACTTTTCTGCAAGTATATATTGATTCAGCTCCAGGTCGGCCAAATAAAGTTTGTCTCCTGAACAAGCACTACATTATTAAAAAGTTAAAGAAAAAAATAAATGCAAGCTGACAGTCAAACGTTGTGTTTATTATATTTAAATTTCTTAAACCTACCTGAAAACCACTTTTTCTTTAGAGAACTCGCATTTACAGTCAGCTACGCTTGGTATTTTTACCTTCATTGTAATAGTCTCTTCATTTTGAAACCATTTTACTTCTGGATAAAAGCTAAAATAAAGAAAGTTTAATTGGATTTTTTCAAAAATAGAAAACAACTGAGTTTTAGACAAGCTTTCTCACATTTTTTTTCAAGCTGGAATTTCCCCATTAGGTGACAAACAACTAGCTGAGTTTCAGCATCTGCAGGTGTATTCAACAGTAATCTGACACTGAATAGCAGTGTCAGGAAAGCATGTGATAGAACATCAGCCAAGCTTGCTAAAAAAGCACTGTGACTTCAGTCTTTTGAGGAGAACATCCGCTAGCTGAAGTTGTGAGATACACTCCATTAACTTTGATATCAAAAGGAATCAAACTTACTGCCTCATTAAGGATGCTACCATAGTCTAATCTTGAAATGACAAAGGAAAAGGTAACAGCAAGACCAACCTCTGAGAGCTAAAGTAAATTTTTCAACTGGCTATAGACACAAATACATATTCCTCATCAAGGTTTTCAATCCCTTATTCTACAGCTGTTATGCCACTAGCTTCCCCCAAGGGCTAAAGTGTTTTAACCAATGAAAGAAAATCCTATTAGCAGACTGCAATATCCATTCATCCAGGTTACTTCCCTTATCATACCCTCAGTCACATCCAAACCCTCATTGATTTAACTGCTAAGTCACATCTCAACATGTATTACATAACGGGGAAGATAAACTGTGCTAGCCATGGTGCAGAAGGAGATACACGTGGATTCCATCACCCTACCAAGAACTTTTCCAATAGGCTAAAATACAAAATACTTCTGGTACTTGCACAAGAAAACGTTAGTCACTCGTAACTACTGTTAACATGTAGAAGAAAAAGAATAAGCCACCCAAGGAAAGCACTGCTTAGTCCCAAAGCGTGTAAGAAATTTAAGAATACTTCTCAGGATGCACTATTTGCTGACTTTCGCCACACCCAAGATGTCCCTCAGCATACTCACAATCACAAACAAACCTAGCATTCATTTCTACTCCATGCTTCTCATATCTTAATTATCAGAATTATCTTATCCACAAAGGATATGACAATTTTGTTTGTTTCAAGCAATCAAAAACAAACAAAAATAACAGAATCACATTAAGGGAAGAGATACAAAACAGATTCCTCTCATTAAATGCCAATATGCAGACACAGAAAGGCAGGAGTTACAAATTAGACCTCAAATAGGACAGTCTGCTTAAAACATAATTCATACAAGTGTGGGTCAGAGCTGGTATCTTATAATCATGGACTATTCTCATTCACTTCCTAGTACCATGGCATCTAATAAAAGACTACATAGATTCAACAGATAACATTAGCTTCCAGGAGTATGCAAAAGCACAATTTAAATTACTTGAGAGCCACAAGATGTGTGTATATATGTATATATCTAACAGCAACAGTAATCTCTCCAGCTCACCAGTGACCTAACAGAATACTTCTAACCTGTATTATACCTATTTACTCACAAACCACAAAATCTCAGTAAGGATGACTGTCCTGTCTGGCAGTTCTCATTAAAAAAAAAAAGCAAGCAGCATGGGAACAAGTAATTGAATTTTTGTACCATTTTCGCTGATGCAGGGTAGAGTCTTCCACTTCCTTAGTTTGAGCTACACCATCTAAAAATAAGAAATCCAGAAAGATATTTTATATTTATTGATAATATAGAAACCAGATACTTCCAGAATACCCTAGTACCATAAAAAAAAATAACCTGCTAGCAATCAAATTACTACTGCAAGACTGTATTTGGTAGTTATATTGGGTACTTCCTACTTGGAAAGATTTAATAAAGATAAGAATTCAACTGAAGATTTTAATTAGAAAAGGGATTATAATTGGTATAAGAAAATTTAAAAATAACCCATGAAAAAAGGCAGTTTCCCAGGTCAGGTAAAGGTTTTTCCAAGTTTCAAGACATTATTTGAAACCTGAAACACATCATTTTAGATATGGACTAAGAGTTTCCGGGATTAAACAACTGATATTGATGTTACCAGCACAGCTTGAAACATGGCATTACAGTCACTCTACTGTACCAGGAAAAAAAGCTTTCCATGATAAGCACTCTGGGATCTTATTTTAACTTTGTCTGCTGCTATTTTTTAATTCCTCAGCTTTCATTGCTCCAAACTCAAGTGCTGAGTGCTGACAGATCATCCTCTATCCCACTTCCCTTCTAGGACTGAAAGAGCCATGTGCTTTTAAGTCTCTGCTGACTGAATACAGCAGTGTGAATTTAAGCATCAGATTTAAAAAAAAACAAACCAAAACAAGCCATTTTCTACCACCTTGGATCTTGGGGGAAAAAATCCCCAAAACAACCAAACCTCTAAGAGGACAATGCTGTTATTCACCTCCCATTTCAACAGATTTCAACTTCCTTAAACACTATGGTGTTTGACAGCAAAATGCTCATATCCTCTCTACATGAAAGATTTTCTGCTCACACACTCCATTCAAAGCCAAACAATTCTGAGTCTCTCAAGGACAGAATATTTCCCAAATAGTAATACAGATATATTAATATGGCTTACTCTCACAGCATCTCCAGGCTGCTAACTAGAAGGTATTTGTGGCTTATTGTAAACATTAGCTATATGGAGCTATTTAGTATACTCAAGAGAAGTCTGCATTTGATAAAATTACTTTCTGGTTCACATTTAAGCACCAAACTTTAATTCAAGTTTTAAAATTTTGGGAAATTATGAAAATATTTACCACATGGACCATTTCCAAGAATAATTTCAGAAGAATTAGAGTTTTCAGTAGAATCTTCTTGTGTTGATATATTCTGTGGATTAGACACATTCTCTGGACCAACTGCATCCTCCTTTATGCTTCTGAACACAGAAAAAGACATTTTTAAAAGAAAGGGTTTAAATATGTTTGATATTTAAAGGAGTCCTAATCATAGCTGTAAATCCTTTTGAAGTTAAGTTTTTAATTTTAATATATACAAAGAATTATAATAAAATGCACTTCCAGCAAACTGTAAAGCTCACCACAGGGTTGCTGAACTTCAGTAACTCAGTAAGAAGCATTTATACAGAAATCCAAGTTAGGAGAACATTTAGAATTCTGATAGCAACAGCATTTCCATTGGATCATTAAAAAAAATAAATCTATTGACTTTAACTGTGTGTGATAGGAAAATTATTACCCTTCACAAAGAACTGTAGTAGGTTTAGGGGTTTTTGGTCATATTTCAATCTGATGTGGAAAAAGTAAAAGTTTCCAAATACTCCGAGTTCTTAATTTATTAGTAAGAGACCTCTGGCTTTCCAGCTGTACAGCTAGAGGCTTCACTAGCTGGACTCAAGATTGAGGAAACATTTTAAGAGTCAACCTACTTGACAGCTTAGAGATAGGCATCATGACCTTCTGTTCTGCAACAGCCTAGGAAGTCTCTGTCAAACCATTACTGAGAATAACACAGCACTGTATAACTTCTGAAACACTGAGTCATCTATCTAAATGAAAAATACTTTCTTCCATTACCTCCAGACACCTAATGGCACCAAAGGACTGAATCCAGTCTAGTAACCCACCACCTAATGGTGATGGGGGGAGTGGGGGGAAAGTACAGCACCATTACTGCAAAAATTACCATGGAGCCCTACTCATTAAGTGTAGGGTCCTAATCCTTTTAAAGTAAACTAAAGTTTCCCAGCTTGAACTCTGCAGTTGTACAAACATCAACAATATGCTCTACTGTACTGACTGGTACTATGCACTGACTGGTAAGCATTCAGGAAAGCCACTAATAATCATAAAAGATAAAAATATGGAATCTGGATTCAAATTCTGTTATGATTGATTTGTCTATCTGCATCACATACCAGTTCGACACTTTCTGGAATCAATATTTTTCTTTCCATGATGGTTATGTAGCTAAAGAACAATTAAAGGAAAACATAGATATCACAAACACTATTGTCTCTCTGTTTAAGTGAAAACCATATTCAGTAACACTAACCATGAAAATACCTAGTTAAATAACAAAAAAATTTGTAAAGACTTACAAAGGCTCCAAGTTCTTTGCATGATCTAATACTTTCATGTGTCCACACAACTTCTGAAGTTCTGTTATATGTTCTGGATTGTCAGTTCCCAGACCCGTAGCCAAAATCTCAGATCGAACACTGTATTCATTGATAGACATCTTCAAATCTGGAAGCCTGGTAATCCGGACCTTGAATTACAAAACATACTAAATGGAAATCACAGTTCATAAATTGGTCAGTCTCCATCTCTCTCTCTCTCTCCCGCTCTCTTAAGCTGTTCTTTGAGTAAAACTTTAAACACACCTCCATTTATTTATACCTGTAAGCAATTTGTTTTCTCTGATTTTCAAACAGGAACCTACCCATCTTTGATTTTTTTCAAAGTATCTTCATCTTTTTCATCATGATAACAGCTCAAATACCTAATAGGTAGTTCCATCTAACAGAATCAAGATAGTAATGAACTACACAATCCTAGCCCTGACTATACACACTACAGCCAAAATACACACCAGATAGTTAAAATAACTTCTAGACCCAAATAACAATAGAACTGATGGAGGGGCACGGTAAGAAAAACCCTAAACAAAACCAAAAGCATAGAAATTGGAGAAAGACCAAGATACAACATAAAGGAAAGGAAGCTACTAAAGAGAATTACTTCTAGATCATTTTCTCTTTCCACTTTTCCATCTGACCAGTCAGCTGAAAAATAAACATAGCACGATATACTCCATAGCACAGGAATAACTTACTGTACTCTTTGGCAGGACCAAGCAGCCACAAGAGGCACATCATAACCCTGAGATATAAGGAGGCCCTTCTGATGAACTCATCCAGACCACAAAAAATAAGTAAAAAAAAACCCCCTCAACTTTTGAACTACCTTTGATAACAATTCTTCACACAACTTCTTGCTCCTAAAATGAAGTTATATAATAACTATAAAACACGGCAAAGACTTAGAAACACAAACTGAGTAAGTCTAGTGTAAGAGGTCTTAGATATCAGCATATGACCCTGGAGGATGAAAGTTTCATTCTTTCATAGCAATGTGTGACAAACTACAGAACTGATTGTACAAGACAAAACCCTAAAATCTAGTACTTACAAAATATACTTTTGTTCTAACTTTGTGGAATAGTCTGCATGACATTTATAATTAATTTGGTGCTCTGTGCATAGTCAGTGTCCAGATTTAAAGTTCAAGTTTTACGCAGTCCTGTATTCTGTCTATATACGAGCATACATATTTATCACAGAATGGTTGGGGCTGGAAGGGAAGTCATCTCGTCCAAACTCCTTGCTGAAGCAGTGTCACCTAGAGTCAGCCACCCAGAACCATCCTCCAATAGCTTCCGAGTATCTCTAAGGACAGAGGCTCTACAACCTCTGAGCAACCTGTTTCAGTGCTCAGACACCATCATAGTAACTTAACTGACAGTATTATGTGAATACCATGTAGAATAAAATTAAAATAGGGACAGAAGGAAAGAAGAGAATGGGTGCTCTTGTTCTAAAGGCGTTTATATACAAATATTTGGTAATGTTACAATTCAATACCTACCATTGGGTCAACCCAAACTGTATTTCCCAAGGTATGTACTATTTTTGCTTCATGTAGTTTTCCTTTAATTTTGTGATGAATATAAGACGTTACCTAGGAAAAAAATATTCATTGCACTTGAGATGTGTACCAACATAACTTTACAGTTATTTTAATTATAATGAAACAATCTTCTGAGCTTAAGAATTAAAAGATTATTCAATAAATAAAAATAGTTTTGAGTAAACTAGTGAAACCCTTCAATTAGATTAAAATAGTATTAGCCTTTAAGGAAGAAGAATACTCAAACACAGGTCAAATTCCAGAGGCTATCATTCCCTTGTTACTCTTCACAGCAATAACTTGTTCTGGAAGAAGTCATTTAAATCAGAGAAGAAAATACCACAAGTTTCACTTTAGTATTTTGTAGGAAAACATACAAGAAAACTGACTTCTTAGAATCTGGCCCAAGAGTAGGTATTTATTGGTAATACTAAAAAACAATGAAATCTGATAACTAAATTTGCAGTTCATAACTGTTTTCTTGTAGAAAGAAAGACACAGAGACAAATTAAAGAACTTAAAGGAAATACCATGAAAAACCTGGTATTACCTCTGGATTCCATTCAGTTTCATTATCAATGGGTTTCACTCTACAAATTATAAATTCCACAGCTTGAGGTGGCAGACACTGAAACATTGCAGGTAAGTGAAGCAGCTGATAGCTCTGAACTTGACTTGTTCTGCCTTCATCTACATATTTAACTTTGACATTAAAGAATACATTTTCCTCCTCTTTTGCTGAAATCTCTAGCACCTGAACCCTTCATACAGTAGGAGAGGAAACAAAGAATTATTATTCATATAATCAGTTGTAAAAAGTTTTCTAATCTACTCTTGTTTAAAAAAATGGTATTTTCATAACAAAATATCTAACTGTGTGTGCGTGTGTGGGCAGTCATTTCTGTTTTCCATTTGGTAACTTAAAGAGTATGTGATAGCTTTTTAAAGAATGATTTCAATAGCAGTGATTCTTTTCTGGTTTTGGGAGTTGGTTGAAACAGTGAAAGTTTTAAACTGCTTTGTATAAAAAAAATTACACATGAATAGTTTAAAAACCAACATTTATACCTGTGAAAAAGTGTTTTCTCACATAATCCATAAAATGCTAGCTTCTCCACGTTTTTAGCAGCAATTTTATTACTAGGTTTTTTAAAATACTCATTAATTTCTTCAGCAAGAATTGTATATTGGTCCTTCTCTTTATCTACTATTCGACCAAAGTAGTTTGTTGCATGTACAATGTGGAGAGGCAGTATCTGAAAGCATAACATACATCACAAATAAGGAAGACTGGATGATTTCTTAAATTAATGACATGTAAGTTTCCATATTCAAGATCACCTACCTCTTTCCAGCCCAAAGAGGTGACAGAGATGCTTCTTCATACCCACATTTCAAAAGATTATGAGTTATTCTATCATTCATAAGATTATGAATTAATACTAACTGTCCATAGTCCAGTCAACAGCAGACAGAAATTTATAGAGCAAGAACTGTTAGGTGTCAGTGGTATTCCACTTAAATGAACACCAGTGAACTATACTATTACGTGCCAAGCTACTAACCACAAAGGCATTCCACACCATTCAAGCTTAACTCTAAGTGTTCTCCAACCTTACAGTGAGTTTTAGACAAACTGACTGGGGAAGCAAGAGGCCTTCACTCTTTTTGCACTAAAATTACTTTGATTAAAAACTATGAACACACTACTATCAACACCAATGCATAAAATATTGGCTGTACTCTGTCCAAAGGGCCACGTCAGGCAGAAGTACTGAGATACACTTAGGTGTATGAGTCCAGACAGAGTAGTAAGAGGACCAGAATGGTAATTTCCACTTTAAAAATTCTAAAAAAGCACAATGTGACTTGAAGTTTTTAAAAGGAAGGAAACATTATACTGGGTTCCAAACAAAAATGAAAATGAATACATATTAAAGTGATAACTGATTTCTAAGACAGACATCCAGGCTCTGCAGTCAGCAGAAGTAGATAAGGAAATGGAAGAGGCCACAACTGCTGTCCTTCAGTGCACCACAGGTAAGTGCAAGTTTCCAATACGACTACCATGAAATCTGTCCCAGTCTCACACAGTGGAACTGGATACATGTAGCTTGTCAAAGGCTTTGAACCTAACAACACAAGCTTAATTATTAGGCAGAAATCGAGTGACACCAAAGAAACCACCCAGTTCTCCTTGTTTTCTACTCTTGCAACCTAGGACTTTTGGGAATGGATAACACCCGCTAACTGCACAACCTGATGGCACCAGAATTCTGCAAAAGACAGGACAGGAACAAGGCAGAAGCAGCTCATCCAAATGGAAAGCATCAAGCACTCGTTAGACCAAAGGTTAACTTTAGATGGAGTCAGTTATGTCTACACATGTGCCCTCAGCAATTGTCATCCAAAAAGGAGACAAGAGACTGTACAATACTGATGTATTGAAGATGCTCCAGTATAGATAGGACTGAAAAAGCCAGATGAAGGGACCTGGAGATTCAAACTGTTACTGGGATGTGAAGAATCACCATAGCAAAGCCAACCCAATAACCATGAAGGTTTCAAGACTGTGGAACTATTAAAAAAAGTACAATTAGAATAGCACTCCTTAGCAAAATGGTTTTCAAAAAGCATTGACATCTTAGTAGGAAATAACTGTTCCATCTGGAAGACAAGGGAGAAGTTATATCCATTTTCTCTGGATACCGCAAATGAAAATACTAGTGTGAAACGACAGGGCCAGAATATGCTCATTTTTTAGCAAGTTTGCCTGAACATGTCTGCTAAGAAAAAAATTCTCATTTCCAACAAAACATGCATCATCTTCCACTTCAAACTCTCTTCACTCCAAAAGATTAATTTCTTTCCTCTACAATAAAGATAATTGAAGATTATAGGAACTTTAACCTTTGTTACATTTAGTATATGGTCTCAATTTATAGAGGGAATGAATAATCAGAACATAAGCCTTCTTCCCATAGAAGGAGGACCTCAAATGCACAAGAAAATCTGATGTAAACTCAGAATCACATGGAAAGCAACTTCCATTCAAGCTAAGGATTAAGGGAAAATCTGGCACACTTATTTATGCAAGGGAGAGAGGAAAAAAGCTAAAAAAATAACAATAACCAAGAGATATAGTATACATACTACAGTAATATTAATGCAATATGAAAAAATAAGTAATATTCTAAGTAGCTATTTAAGACCTGTCACCTTGGTACCCAAATCCAAGGTAAATAACTTACTGTCACACATCCAGGAGTTCGTGTAATTTTATCTGGTATGTTCTGGGGCACATCAATTTGTAAATTAATCCGATGACGATTTTGACACACTCTTCTTTTCCTATTATTAAAGAAATGGTTTTATTAAAAGAGCCCTTAGTTTTCAGTTGTAAACTATTTTGGTGTGACTTACAACAGCTTCAAATACTAAAATTTCATCAGCCCTCAATATTTAATTTTTGTCTCAAATAGCACCGATGACTCCGGGGATTAGACAGAAACAGTCAAAAAACTTGTTTGAAAAGTTTGTACAACAAAACAAAAAATCAGAAAAATTGTTTCAGAGTAAAACAAACACTAGCATTGATTTTTTCTTGTTACTTGAAACAGTTATCTACACTAGAAGTCATTATCTGAGAACACTTTAGCTTCCTCCTTCAGGCGCTACTTATGATTCAGTTACACACAGCTCAGAAATCGTCATCTACTTACCCATTCTGGAAGGACAGGAGACTACAGAGGAGAGAGTAAAGCACAAACCTCGTGCAATTATGGTTGGAATACTAATCGAAACAATGGCTTAAAGTTCCCTCAAGTACATCTAGGCAGGAGTTATAACAAATTATGCTACTACATCAGACTACATATGATTTACCTCCATAAAAATGTCAATATTTTTGCTTTCATAAAAGTATCTAAGAAGACTGAAACAGATGCAACAGTGAACAGAAAAAAACATGAGCAAAACCAGGTTTGAATGCAATATCCAACAGCAAAACACCAAGGAAGTAGAAGCAGTCATCATTCAGTGCATACAATGCTTTCCTGCATCAGTATAGGTGTCAAGAAAACTTCGTATTTCCTTACTTGCAAATCCCAAATGTTTTAAGATAGGCACACAGTGGCCTTGAAAATTTTTTATCTTCTTCAGCTTCTAGTGTCTTGGTCGTAAACTCATGCAGCTTTGGTGGAATTTCAGCTTCTGCGCGGTGCAAATACTGCAAGATTCCAGGTGCATGACGAGCACTGTTTTCTGTTAGCAGAATGACTGATGTTGCTTTTCTATATTCTTGATCTACAGAAGAATTCTAAAAAAAAAATATATATATATTTTTAAAAGCTTTTATGTATCCACCACTTAATAATGAAATGTAATATTAACCTGTTAAAAATTTACTCAAACCTTTATCCCATTACTGAAGTTGTCAGACATGCTGTGGAGTCGCTGACCAAAGAGTCTTCGAGAAGGAAAACTGAAGTGTATCACGCAAGTTGCATCTGTAATTCCCAAAGGCTGCATGCAGTCATCTGTTAAAACTAAGCACATGTTTTATACACACGCATAAGGAAACTGTAACATTCAAGCACGTGAAGTATTACATCACATTAGCAATGGCTAATAGGTTAGTGGATGGGGAAAAGGAAACAGCCTAAACCTAAAAAGGTCTTTTCCCAAGACACTTACATGAGGCATTATATTTCTTCAGTCAATACACTTCGTAAGTATACAGGAGAAGCAGTATTTCATGTTAGTCTCTAATAATCGAGCACAATTCTCCTATCAGTATTATAGAATAAAATTACCCACAGTCAAGTACTTCACAAGTGTAAGAGAAAACGCTTGAAGTA